AAAAAAAAAATCTTTTGACTGAAAATTTATCTTCGACCAAACCTCATTCCTCAGCGATACCATAGTTTTTTTCTTCTTGTAATTAGGAGCGCTTGTCCTCCTAATTAAAAAATTTAGGAGCACCTTCTGATCAATAATCTAAAATTCTGATCAAAAATTAGCCTTCATAATACGAGACTCCTTAAAGTGACTTACAGGAGTATCTTTGTAATGGCATCATTTTCATCTATTTCAAATTCAAAAATGTATGTTTCTAATCTTTTTAAAATTTCTATTTAAAACAATATGCAGAATAAGACGAATAAGTTACCAATCATATGAAATTAGTATTAATAAATTAATTTGTACTACAGAGGTGGCACAGAAGAACACAAAAGTGGCTTGTAGGTACATTTTCAGACGTTTAATGAGGCTCGGAGGTGGCACGAGTGCAATTAAATTCATGTGGAGATTAATGTTTTAAGTATAACATTTTGAATACAGAAATATGATTTAAATAACTGAAATTATACGCTAAAAATGAAACTAAATCCGCCAGCAGGTGGCGGCAAGTCACTGATTTTATCACTGAATCATTCATTCAATTGATTTGTTCGAACGACTGAATCATTCATTCAATTGATTCGTTCAAACGGCTGAATCATTCAGGAATGAAGTCTTTATGAACTGATGGAAATCCGTCGTAGCGACGGAACACTTTAATCCCTGTATTCAGCTCCAATAAATGGTTTGTAAAAAAGAGACAGGATAAATGTTTGATATCATTATTTAATCACATTGGAATCGAAACTGGGAATAGAAAAGAATCGGAATCGATAAAATTCACACGATACCCAACCCTATTAACGATGTGGCGGCTCACGGTTCGTCTCGTCTGCAGGTGGCGTGGGGTTTGACATTAACTGTGGCGTCCGTCTGCTGAGGACTAACCTGGACGAGGGCGACGTGCAGCCGGTGAAAGAGCAGCTGGCGCAGTCCATGTTTGACCACATTCCCGTCGGAGTCGGATCCAAGGGCGTCATTCCCATGGGAGCAAAGTAAACACTAAAACAACAATAATACTGCACAGCCATCCCAACATTTTCAATTAGAACTTGATTAAAATGAAAACTGAAAATACTACGATGACAGCTAAGTCAAATTAATAAAACTTCTTTATTTTTCCAGTCAGTTTATGTTTATGCTCTGAACTTACTTGGCATCAGCGATTAATTGTTTATTGCAAGAAATGAAATTAAGTAATACTTAATCGTTGCATGCACTAATATAACAGAACATCATGGAGTTACCAGTGGAATTTTAATACATGAAATTATTTTGTGAACGATGCAACGAATCATTAAAACATCTTAAAGGAGTAAATATTTGCTTTTAATAAAACTTGGCTGGTTGTGCAGTAGAAAAAAAGCTGAAATAAAAAAAAAACATTAAATGATAAACCTAAACTAAATGTAAATTAGAAATGTTGCCTTGGCAACTAAAATAAGTTTAGGTTGAACTAACTGGAAATAAATAAAACTGAAATGAAATCTAAACCGTAATGTTTTTATAAAAAATAAAATAAAAAAAAAATCCAATAAAAGCACATCAAATTAATGTTAAACAAATTAAAATAAACTGAAAATATGAGAATAAAAGCGAATTCAAAATATTAATACACTATAATAGTAAATAAAAAAAAATACTTGTTGCCTTGGCAATTAACTGAAATAAGTTCAAGTTAAAGCGCTAAAATGATTTAACTGGAAATAAATAAAAATTAAAACTGAACTAGAACAGAAATTTTTTTTTTTTTTTACCTAAACAGTAATAAAAAAACAATGGCAAATACAAATGGCGCATAACAAAATTAATTGATTTAAAATGAAAACTGAAAATACAACGATGAAATCTAATTCAAATTAATAAAACTATAACAGTATAAATATTGTAATAATACTGTAAGTTGCAGCACTAAAATTAACTGGAAATAAATAACTGAAACTGAACTTAAAAGAAAGCAAGCATTTAACCTAATAGTATATATAAACAATGGTTAAACTGTGTAATAAATGTTGAGTGTGAGAGGGTATTAATTATTTACTATTATAGGTTTATTCATATCATGAATTTGCTTTTGTTCTTATGTTGCCTTGTGCTTTTGTCACTTTAGTTTTGTTTTCATGAGTTTGCCGGCGCTGTGTTTGTGTTTGTGTGTGTGTGCAGAGATCTGGAGGAAGCTCTGGAGATGGGTGTGGACTGGTCTCTGAGGGAAGGATACGCCTGGGCCGAGGATAAAGAGCACTGTGAGGAATACGGCCGGATGCTGCAAGCCGATCCCAACAAAGTCTCGTCCAAAGCCAAGAAGAGAGGACTGCCACAGGTGCAAGCATTTACAAGACAACACAATGCAAAGCCCAGCAAATTCTCTCCGATCTCATGTCATGCTCTCCTGCTGTTGTGTAGTTGGGGACGCTGGGTGCAGGAAACCACTACGCCGAGATTCAGGTGGTGGATGAGATCTATAACGATTACGCTGCGAAGAAGATGGGCATCGACCACAAGGGGCAGATCTGTGTGATGATCCACAGCGGCAGTCGAGGCCTCGGCCACCAGGTGGCGACAGGTGAGCCGCAGCTTCATGCTAGTGTTGTTTTAGTACGGAGATACTATTATAGTTTTCAACTTTGTGTTTTGTTTTCATTTTAAAAAATGTTTTTCAGTGTTTATTTATATTTTCAATGCAATTCAAGTTTATATGTATAGCGCTTTTCACGATACAAATCGTTGCAAAGTAGCTTTACAGAAAATTAAAGGGGTCCTATTATGCTTTTTTCACTTTTTCAACTGTAGTTAGTCTGTATTGTTGCTGTTTGAGCATAAAAAAGATCTGCAAAGTTACAAAGCTCAAAGTCCACTTCAAAAGGAGATAT